TATATATTTCTTTTTGTTCACTTGTATATGTATTAAGTTTTGCGCAGAATCTTTGAGATAGCAGCATTGTTGATTTGAAGAGCTAAGTCTGCATCCCATGCATTTGGTTAGTCGTTGAGAATTGTTTGGTACTTGTTTCCAGTATCGAAAAATGATAGTTTGGTTTTTCTTTTTTGAAAATTTTCCAAAAACTTGAAGTCACGGGTGATAGACCTATACAATGTGTTGATTATTTATAGGTAGTATAGTGAAGGGATTAGGTTGAACAAGCTGATTATGGATATTTTCTGCTGTAGCGATATCATTTAGGAGGGTGTTGTACCACTTAGGTTGTCTGCCTCTGGATATTTTTTGTATATTGTGATGTGATTTCTGCCAGTTTAAGAGCTGTGTATGAGAAGAATTAGTTAATTGTTTGATAAAGTAGATATGATGCATATTTAGTTTTTCTTTTATAATTGAGGCTTTCAGGTTTGAGTATAGTATACTGTTGATAGAGGTTTCTATTTGATTTATTGGTATTGGCCAGGTTTTACTATTATTGTGTAAAGTAAGTTGGACCTTGTGGAGTTCCAGTATTATTTGTGCAGTAGTTGTTTTATTTTCTGGTGATGGAAAAATAGGTTGATGAGTAAGGATCAAGTGGTTTGTAGTGGCAAGATTTTGTAGTTGTTGTAGCCTTATTTTTAGTGCAGATGTGCCAAAGGATGGATGATTAAGAATTTTAGAGAAATTGCTAATATGTTGTAGTTGCTGTGTATTGTGCATTGTTTTTAAACTGTAGATTCGATTGTGAAATAGTGTCGAGCTTGGAATAGTACTAGCGAACCCCACTTTGTGTTTGGTGAGGTTGGTGTAAACAGCGCTATTTATTGGTGTTTAGGAGATTCTACTTAGATTTTCTATATTGCCAAGGCCTTCTAAACATTTTGGAATATCTAAAAATATTTTACAACACATGATAGCCTTAAAACTAATCAAATATTGGTTTAAAAGGCTATAAAAAGGATAGCTTTTTGCCTTTCTAAAAAGCAGAGTTGTCTCTATCTAAATTTCCTTTAATAAAAGTATATTTTATTGATCTTTTTCTTGATATTATTAATAAAAACTATTCTTTATCTTTCTCTCTTACATTTTTTTTATCTTTTTCTTTAATAAATTTGTTCTTTTCTTGTCAATAATATAAAATAAAGCTGACTTCGTAAATAGTATTTTGGCAAATACTAGCTTTATATTATTAGAATTTAAAGGCTGCATATAGCTGTTGACAGTCTGATTATTAGTGCTTTCTTTCCTCTGATTATATCTTAAGATATTTCTAAGTTTTTAAATCTAATAATCCTTATACAGAGCAAGTATTTTGCTAAACCCGACCTATACAAACTGAACAATAGGTTCGACTCTAAACACAAATGACTATTGCTAACTCTTTATAGTATCTAGGAGGCTATTGAATTTAAATTCTGTTTAATTATTTTATTTCTTTATCTTTCTTTTGATTTTCTTTAAATAAAAGATTGTCTACTTGATATTTGTGTTTTTAAAATTTGCTAAAACTTGCTAGTTTATAGTAAATTTTATTACAATATTTTTAATGATAAAAAAAATATATATAACAAGAATAACTTGATTTTTGAACAAGTAATAGATGAATTGGCGATTCAAAGATTTTTTTTCTAACTTGGAGATTTTAAAGCTTTTTTTATATATGAATTGGCACAAAATATAGGCTACAAGTGTGCTTCAATAATATAATCAATAAAGCTTTATACAACAATAAATAATATTGTTTTCTTTTAATCTTTTTAATTCTACTTTTCATATACAAGAACATAACTAAAAATAATCATATTTTTTAATTTGTAATAGGAAATAGCTAAATAAAAAATAGATTTACAGTAAACCTTTATGAATGCACACTCTTGAAACCAAGCTTAATAATGTGCATTTAGAAAAAGTGCATTTATGAGATTATGCATATTTAGATAAAAATTTGATATGCATTTAGAAAAAGTATACACTTATAGAGGTTTTACTGCAAATATAACAATTGTGCTTAATTTTGGCTAGAAAGTCTGAAGTCTATAATGCTATATAGTGACTCATAAGATTTTATTAGATTCTTATTCATATACATTGTGCTGGAATTAAAGAAGAAATTTCAACAATGCTACTTAATATTTATTGTTAAATTTCTTTTTTAATTCTAGCCTATATATTATATGTATTATCAGAAAAACAATATTAAATCTTTTGTTTTAAAAAAAAAAACAGTATATACCTATTTAATAACAATTTAAAAGACTATTTTACAATTGTATTCCAAAAATAGCTGCTCTAATTCAAGCATTGTTATCATTAATGCTAATTTCTTTCACGTAATAACAAATGTTTCATCTTTCACCCATTTTTTTTTAGTTTGAATACAATTAGCAATGAAAATTTCATAAAACTAAGAGACAAATTTACTAATTAAGGATAAATAAGGATATGTATGTAATTTACAATATTTTATTCATTTTATATTTTATAACTCTAATGTATATTAGTCTGGTATTCCAACAATTGAGAATTAAAGAATTTTAGGTTCTTATGCATTAGAACTTGGCATTATCTAATAGCATTCAAAGCTTTTAATGAAAAAGCCATAATACAGATAGTATACATTAGTATAATGAAGATACAAATCAACATTATGTCATTAGTTTAAAAAGGTACAAATATTAATTTAAGAGCTAGTTCTGTAATTTTTAAGACTACAAACCACTGAATCGGGCTTCTACATAGAATCACTCTTCATTGAAAAAGTTAAAAATATAACAATTATTACAGTTGTTTTTAAATTCTGGGTCAACAATAAAAATTTCTCAATGATCATTTGGCTGAATTCATTAAGTTTTTGAATTTTATGAAAATCTAATGCCAATAATACTGAATTCAAAAACTTATTAAATTTAGCCAAATAATCTTTATCAGTTCTAGAATTTATGAAAACAGCTATAATTGATATTGAATCTTAACAATTTGGTTACAAGTTCTTAATTTCATATAAATATTTTTGGTCTGAAGATCAAATTTTAGCACTACTGAAGTTTAAATAAATTGTGTATGCATTTAAATAAAACATTATTTGAGTTATTTATTTGTAATATAGTTATAGTAAAGCTTCTTGCACTAGCTTTGTATTAGTCAAACTTAAAAATAATTTTACATAACAAGTTTATACAACAAATTTGTATTCAATTAACTATATTTCATATAATCTGAAAAAAAATTTTTTTTTATACTTTTTTGACTTATTGGACTTTACTAGACCTCACTGGACCTTACTGGAACTTTTATCCATTGATAAAAAAAATATTACTAAAAGGGTCTAGTAACAACATATTACTGGAACCTATATATCTTTTAGTTTCATCCAGTTAGTTCTAGTAACTCTTCTAGTTCTAGTGATCTTTACTAAACTAGTCTAGCAACAACACTAATTTAGATCTAATTGTCTATTGACAGAAAATAACACCTAAAAATATTATTTCAGATTATAGCTTGTGTCAACTTAGGCTATAATTCAAAATATAACCCAATTGTTTTAGTGTTACCAATCTATAAAATTTTGCTGCTAAGTAGTATAAGATTTTGCTATTAATTTAGTTAGAAGAAGCAAAATTTTTAGATTAATAATGCTAGAACAATTATAAGCTCTGGATGTTATTGTGCTTATAGAATAATAAAAATTAATCCAATTAGTTTTTTTTAATTCTCACTAGTGGTGCCATATAGCATAAATAATTTAATTAATTAATTGACAATTTGTGTTTTTCTTAGATTTTATCAAAAAGCCGTATAAGCTCTAAAATTTCAAATCATTTGTTTGAGTTAATATAGCATCAGCAAAACAAAGATAATCTTTAGAAGAATATGTTAGAATATATAAAGAATACATGTTATTTTGAAGAAGAAGTAGATAAAACTAATGAAGAGAATGAGAGTGAAGAAAACGAAGAAGAGGAAAATAGAGAAAATGAAGAAAGTAAAGAAAGTAAAAAAAGTAAAGAAAGTGAGAAAGTGAAGAAAACAAGTATGAGAATGAAGAAAATGAAGAAGAGAAGAATGAAGGAAATAAAGACAAAGAGAATAATAAAAATAATAAGATTGAAAATGGAGATGAAGAAAAAGAAGATAGTGATGAAAATAGTGAAAATACGTTACTATAAAAATTTCATTATTTAAAAATAATTAGAATAGAAATTTAATAATCATTTACTTACTACAAATCAGCAGCTACTTAAAAATTATCATTTGAGATTCAACTTATTCAATCCACTATTTATAAAATAATTATTAAAAAAAATCAAATAAATAACTCGTACTTATTAAAAATAATATAATTATCTGAATAAAGTAATATAGTGTGCTTAATAAATTTACTGCTATAAAGCTCACTAAGATTCTTGACTATTAATTATATTCATACTGCATTAAACGCATCAGATAGAGTGCTAAGAAGGGTTGCTTACAAAAACATCTAAAATTATAATTTAGAATATTAGTGTTGCATATTAATATTTGTCTATAAGCCTTATTATTTCAACTTATAGAATAATAAAGAAATAAGTTCTAAAAGCTCTACATGTACTATAAACTAGTGTTGTCACTCAGACAATTCGGACAGCACTTGGACAGAGTTTGTCAGAGTTTGACACTGAATAACTTTGAATAATATATTGTGATTCACCTTCAGTTATTAATTAAAGTTGTTTAGAATTATTTTTTGCATATATGTATGCATTTTTAGAGTAGATTTATAAGTCTGATAAAAAGTCAAACAGTTTGCCGGACACTCCAAAAGGCTTGGACATCAAAAATGTACAACACTGCTATAAACTATGTAAACAAGCAAGAAATCTGTACCAGGTTATGTCAATCATATAGTCGAGAGCATATCTGTGTAATCGGTGCATGCAGGTTTGTGTAATAATCAATTTAAACAAGATTGGTAAACACTACGTATATTATATATATGTATGTATGTACGTATGTATTTATAAAATATATATTTATTTATGTAACTATATATGGTTTTGCGGCTAAATAAACTATGTTCTTAATTTGTATCAATTTTGCACAATTTGCATATAGTTCTAGCTTTCTCCGTATATAATAGTAGTCAATTACACATTAGACAAATAAAAGATATGTTAGTTTTATAATATTAAAACTGAAAATCAGTGTAAAAAAAAAAACTTATCATTATTGCTTCAATAAAGTTTCTAATATATGTTTATGATCAAAAGTAAAAAAATATTATTCATACAAAAAGTATTGTTTTAAATATTCTATAAAAGGTTAAAAAGCGAATAATAAAAGTATAATTTAAAAAAAGTGTATATGACGGATATTATGTAATGATAAGATTAAGAAAAAAAGTGTGTACGTAAAAAAAATAAATATAGTAAACTATAATTTAATTGATATGATGTACAAATATAAGGTGAAGGTTAAATAAGCTGTTATGAAAATGATGTAATGCTTGATTTTAAAAAAAAAAAAAAAAAAAAAAGTCGTGTATTTCATTTGCTAAAAGCAGAAAACAAACAAAGGAGTAATCGAACGTGTATGTACGTACCTGCAATACAAGACCCAGTTATTTACCAAAAGAGTTAGCAAATAGTAAATACAACATAAAAACATCGCTCTTTAGAGTATACTTTATAAACGTTTTTATTTTTAATTCTGTTGAATGTGTAAAATATGGAACTGCTGCTTGATGTAAAAAAAAAAAATAATATACCAGGGTCTTCAGAGCCATTAGTAAAATCATTACCAGATAATATTGCAGTCATTCTATCACAAAACTATAGTTATATAGTTTCTGAAATTCAACATCTTCTAAACTATATTACCCTAGAGAGATTTTTAATTGATCAATTTGAAATAGGATTTTTTGTTAATGTTGATAATATTGAAGCTGCACGTCAATGGTTGTCTGAATATAAAGAAGCATCAAAGACCACGATGCGTGAAACAAAAGACTTTTAAGTCTAAGAGAAAAAAGTTATCTTTCGTGAATTATATCATTGTATCTATAGTAATAAAGTTAGGGAGAAACAGTGAATCTACAATTAAAAAAACCCTATTCACTATGTGTCAGAAATACAGAATGTATAGCAACAATTCATCTCTGACTTAAGCATTGGCAGCTCCAAACTAACCACCCACTTGAAGTTAATATTAAATTTGTGCACAACCATGTCATTAATTCGTCTGAATCACTTAGTTTCTGACCTGTTAAAGAGGAAGTTCGTAAAAAATATCTTGAGCTTTTTACTAATGGACATTCACCAGCAACAGCCCTATATACTTATGAGGATAGTATCTACTTTCATACAAGCAATAATCAAGAACTCATACAACTGTTAGCTGATCATGCGCAAAACCCTGATTATGGTTATATTTTAAATCTGTTTAAACAATATCGCAATAAACATCTCGGAGGACGAAATGGCACAATAATGTTTCAGCATCTTAAATATGAGGTCGACAATTACAACAAAACAAGACAAGGTTATACATTGCTTCAAGAGTATAATTCA